TCACGCTCATCATTCTTGAATTGATTTTTCAAGCTCTGAGCACGCTGTACTAAAGTTTACACCGRTTGTCTTACTTACATATCGTCACCTGAAATGCGAAATAACGTATCATCAAAAAATTCGAAATTGAGTGTCTTATTGTTTAMGCTTCACTACTTAACATTTCAACATTTCCAGGTTCTGCGCTCAGATATAGACCAGTTTTAAAAACTATTAACATTTTTTTTTTTTTGTTCACACATATTCCATTTTTTTCGTGTTTCATTCATGCCATTGTAAATTTCCGAAAATGTTGTTATGTTATTTTGCATTTCAGGTGGCGATATACGGAATATTTTCGGTGTGACTAATTATGTTCCTTGAGCTCTTAAAACATTCCCTTTCGAGGAGGTGAAATAAGTATACTGATAAAAAGTGTCATCAAAGTCTGGAATAGCTTTCCTCAAAACCCTTTAGGGCTTCAAATACGCCTTTTATATCTATAAATCTAAATTCCACTTATTGGAGTTAAGATCTTATAGTCCAACGCATAATCACTCTTGCCAACAAGTGCTACAATTAAAAATTAAAGTCATCTCTCGATGAATAAAGATCAAACTCTACAAATCTCTCATCATTTCCGTCTTCCTATATGGTGCGGATTATTATCTGATGAATCGACCTTAGAAGTGTTCGAGTGAAAAGTTTTGCGAAAGATTTATGGTCCATTGCTCATTGGCAACCACGAATACTGCAGTCGGTGGAACGAAGAACTTTTCGGGATATACGACGACATTGACATGGTTCAGAGGATCAACAGATAGTTGCTGTGCTTACTAGTTTATGTTGTTCGGATAGATGAGAACACTCCAGTTTTGARAGTTTTCGATTCGGTACATGCCGGTGGATTCAGAGGAAGACCTCCACACCGTTGGTGCGGTCAGGTGAAAAAGGACGTGTCAGCACTTGTTATCTTGAATTGGCGCCAAATAGCGAAAAGAAAAAGAAAGGCTGGTTCGTTGTTGTTAACTCGGTCATAAATTCGTAAGCGTTGTGTATGCCAACAAATTAGAAAAACTAGTTTAGATTTGATCAGTCTACTATTTGAAGCAGTTTCTTCTACACAAACTTGGAAAAGTCTTTTGAATAGTAAACTTTTTCACTTTTTCAGTTCTCTAACCGAAAAGTACGTATATATTTGGAGGTATCGAAATTAAAGGCATCAGTGTATTAGATATGCCCAAAAAGTTGTTGTAAAATCATAGAAACTAAGAGTACTTACCATTTTTAAAAGTTATTTAAAACTTGTAAAATTATGTTTTCATGTCAAAAAAGTACTTTTTGACTACTTGCTTAATCCTCCAACCTTGCTTTAGCTCTTTGTCCTTGACTTACAACACACTTGCTGCTATATTTTTAATTTCCTCTCACCAAGCGCCACTTTAAAGCAATCCCCCCCCCCCCATACACCCAGCCGGCTTGAGTGTCATTTATATTCAAGTATTTTGCAAGCATTTAACGTCAAGTGGCAGCGCCCAAGGAATTGGTATGCGCTACTCATAATATCAAGATTGCTGCCGCTGTTTACGCGCACGCATACACATGAACTTACAGTATATGCGTGTGTGTATGTGAGCACCACCCCGACGCTATTCAAAACGTAATTTCGCCACATTAAGCAGACTTGTCGTCCTATACATTTCTTATACTACTTATCTGTGCGGGCGCATCGGTCAAGCCAAATGTTGGCTAGCGGTGAGGTGCCTCATTTCCAGCACATTTTCGCAGCGCTTACCGTCGCCACATAGCGCCTTGACAAGTCAACTTGACTTTGACTTTGACTGCGACTGCGACGGCGTTGTGGTGCGCGCTGCCACGCATTTAAGTTTGAATGACCTCATTAATTTTCAATCTGACCGCTGTGATTTCGTTGTAAAAAATGTTCCAACACCGCACAGCCTTGGTCAGTGGCACGCCTACAAGCGTCAACTCATGCCACTCCGCCCCGCAGTTGTAGTTTATTTGGTTGTATTTATTGGTTGTTGGGTGCGCGCGGCACACACACAGATACACAAAGCAGGACCTGCAGCATTTCTTAGTTGGCAACGCAAGACGCGCACTGCGTCTCCTGCGAGTTGCTCGGACGTCGTTGTGMTATTCAATGATGAATGGTTTGTCAGTTGCGTGGCATTCCGTCGCTCATTTGGCCGCAGCGCTCAGCGTTTTGTACTGGTAATGGTAGTTAGTGTAGTAGCTGGCTATGGGTTGTGGCAGTTGTTGTTGTTGAATGTTGCCCTGTTGTGTGCGCTGTATGCCGTGGCAGAAATTTGCGTACAATTTTTTCATATCCAAGATTTATGATGATAAATGAGTTGCAATTGTGAAATGCCGAGCGGCAGCCAGCAATTGCTCATTACTCATACCACGCGGTGGCCGGGCTGTCGGCCGCCATTGGAATGTCGTTTCAAGCGCAACTGATTGCGTCTACTTGCCGTGCAGATTCTATTACTTGTATAWTTGCTGGCAGTTGCAAAGCAGTCTTGTTGTTGTTGTCACTTAAGTCCACAAGCAGCCACTCTAATTGGATTTGACGGATGCGCAGGCATCTTTATGCTCGGTTATTTATTTACTAACTTCTACTGAGTGTCCTCGGCGCTGTCTTGCCACACTTCCGTCTGTCACAACTACGCTCCTCTGTTATGGGTTGCCTACACAGGCCTCTTCAATACCGCCGCTTTGTATATCATATTCGAAGATTGAGTGGCGGAAATCATTTGCCGACAAATTGTTCTTCATGAAATATTTAATAATTTGCCAATTTTATGTACGCCGTAATGATTTATTGATTTAGGCAAGTCGGCCCGGACCACAAGGGCAGGAGTGAAAATTCATTCAAATTTGGAAATCATAAAAGCAACAAGAAAGTTTATTATGATTGGAATTTAATGTGCGAAATATTTTACGCATAGTAGTTTAGGAAACCGTGATATTTTTTTCATACTTTTCTGTGTATCTGTATGTATATGTATTATCTAATTGTCATTCACTAGGAAGTGACCAGCAAYGATTCTTTAAAAAATATGGCTCAAGCTATTGACGACTGCCGGTCCTAGACCAAGTACCCTCTGGGGTAKTCATCCGTTTAAATGCGAGCTAAAGTGAGAAGACGAAACATTYCCTACATTGRGTTGTGCGATGTGTTTGGCGCCCGCCTTTGAGCAACCCCAAAAGCTYGGTCAGGATCRAAAAGGCCGTGTCCGAACCKTTTGATATCATTGGCCTTAATGACGATTTGAAATCGTTATTGAAGATCTATGAGTATATTACGCCACTCTCGGTTTTTGAATTGAGTCAGGAAAAATGCATCAGTGAGCTCGTAGCAGCCATCTTCAACTTTTATTAGAAGCCGTCAGTATTGAAGAGTGCTAGGGTTGTGAAATAAACAAGTCGTAACTATCATTATTATTTATTAATTTTTTTTTCTTTTTTGAAGAAATACGCTTATTTATAAAAAAAAATACTTGTTTAACTAGTCGGTCTATACAAACGTACTTTAACAACTACTTAGGATTTAATATTGACTTTAAATATTTAAGAACGTACAACATGCTTCGAGTAAAAGCGCATCAACAGTAAATTTTTTGGTAAAGCAARCATATGTGTTTATTCAAAAAMAAAAAAACAAAAAAGTAAAATTTGTGCACTTAGAAAATATTTAGAAATCAACGCTCTAACTCTACAACACCCCACACCACAGCACCAACTCGTTAGAAGCCACTTGTTGAACAATCAAAATTAAATTGTGTATTGCTTGTCTCCCTCAATGTGCCCATAAAAAACCTTTCACTACAAAAAAAATGTTACTTAAGAACTTGCCACAAAAACTTCGAACTTTTAACCGAAAGTAAATAAAATSTTATAAAATGAAATATGCGTTGGCCAAACGGGTAATGAAAATAAAATATTGAATAATAAAGTGAAATAAAATAAGCGCTTTTGTCTGCCTTTAAAAGTTTTTCAATATTATGACAGCTGCTTATGCCACTTTCCGCACTTTCGCCACACTTTTAAAGCATCACCTGAATGTAGTGCCCGTAAGCACATAAGTACCAGCATAAGTAAGTAAGTGGAAGTGGAGGAGGAGTACAATACGCCACACCTATACACACACACGTACGTTTTTAATAAGAGCTGACGTTGGAAACTTTTGCTCAAATATTGAATATTGAAGTTTCAACTTAACTCTCTTCATRTACACCGCCCACCTCTACGCTACAACCGCTTGTGAAAGTTATGGCAAGAAAGTGTACGCAGCACGTGACACGTATAAGTTGCTGCCGCCACTTTGTTGACGTGGCAGCGTCCAAAGTACGCACGAGAAGTTTACGGGCGCGCTACCTCGGCATTGYTGCTCCACTCGTCGCGCCGGCAGGTGAAATTTTCGTTGTAGTATCAGTATTTATGTGTGTGCGCTTAAGTGGCCCCCAAAATGGCAGTTTTCAGTCACGTAAAATGTTAGATGAAAATTAAATATAAGCGCTTYGTCCATTTTACCACTCAAAAGCAGAAAACGCACAGCAACAACAAGTAGTAAGCGCAACTTGCGTTGGCTTGGTAGAAAAAGATAAGGAMAATAATGCTTTTGGTTGGGGAACAACATCATTGATTACAAATGATAAAGCTGCTAATGGACACGTCGAGCGAAATCATTTAAAGGCAATGAGGGTGAAAACTTATAAATTCAATATGTTAATACATATACAATGGAAATCACTTTTGGAGGGTCACTCCATTGTAGAAAGCTCTCTATGTTAAATGACCCAAGATATTCAAGTACAAAGATATAAGACTTTCTTTACATGGTGGGTGTGGGCTAAAAATATACGTTAAAAATAGATATTACTTCTTTCAAAAATTACCAAAAATTCTGGCGATTCTGGTCCGAAAAGTAATAGGACTGAGTCAATTAAAAAAAATTTATTGAACTAATCGTTACAATTCTTTAAAAACTTTCAAAATAGGCTCCTTCTGCGTTGATGCAGGATTACAGGAATAGCYTTGAGAGCCGATGTGCATGCTACTTCGATCCCCTCTGCCGTCTCAAAATGCTTGACTTTCATCGGCCTTTTCAGGCAAGAAAATAAAAATGAAATTCGGAGGGCCACATTTGGGCTATAGGGCGGCGACGGAAGGCGTTGGAATGCCGCTCTTGGTTAGATAGCTGTTCACAAGAAAGGTGATGTGGGCCGAGGCGTTATCGTGGTGCAACTTCTAATCGGCTGCGATGTCTTGTCGGAGCCGCTTGACCTTTCGTTTGAGTCTCTTGAGGACTTCCACGTAAAACTTGGCATTGACGATTTGTAAAGGAGAAACACATTCATGGTACACGATGCCTTTGTTCACATTGTCGGTGTTTGTCGCAGTTCTCCCAGCACGGTCTTCATCAGCGATCTCTTCTCGGCCTTCAAAAAAGGCCTGGTGCTACCGAAATACACCACGTCTTGCTAAAGCAACACCTGGGTAAGTTTGCTTGATCATATCAAACGTCTGTGTCGCAGTTTTACCAACTTTCACACCGGATTTAAGTGCGTACGTCTGCTTTARCGAACGCTCCATTTTCGGCTTGCACCACTCACAGAAACATGTCGCGCGAAAATGTTTGTCATGACTCTCCAGGTGCTCGGAGACAGCCGCACAATCGTTAGCTAGGATCCGCTGTCGGATCACTATAACATATAGCTGACATACAAAGTGACCGATCCAACTCCAGTTTTTGTATGAGAAACTTTTGTATTTGGTGAGATATCTTCATGATATTTGGCATAGACCAATGTTTAGGAAAGCTATATARTCTTACAATAACTTGTTTAGACAAGACCCCTATATTATGTATTTGTCACACAAACTGATCGATCTTGTATAGAAACTTTATTATTTGTGAATRTTGTTAAAGCTTTGAGGCGAAATTAACTTTTTCTTTTCTGGCTTCACAAAGAACTGATCATAGTATTCCAAGTGCAATACCCCGCCAACKTGACGCATAACAATAAAACCTAACCTAACTTAAGTCGAAAAGACTGCATGATTATTGTTGAAGGAACCAGTTCACCAAAGCCTTCGTGGAAATTTTTGAATTCAAATTCTCAAAATTCGTTCTCATCACGTCTTCTCTTATTAGTTAACAGTAAAATTAATACTTACGCCCAATTTTTTATGTGCTGGCATCACTCGTAGTGGAATTTCGCATTATTATTACAATTTTGTAAGAAAGAGGATATTAGGTGGTGCAAATCAAAGGATTAGTTGCTGTTAATTTATGGCCTTGCCACGCATTTCGCATTGAAACTGCGTAAATTTATTTTGCTAAGCATTGGAAAACCGAATGTTTGGCAACGTTGGCATTTATTATCACTTATCACAAACTACGACAATTCTTGATGTTGTTGTAACATGGTAGTAGTGTTGTTGTAGATTGAAGTGACCACTCTCAGCAGTGTTAAATGCGCTTGAATAAAGAGCACAAAAGCATAGTAGATTTACTGTATTGAAAACACATGTAAATGCATGTTTGTGCTGTAGTTGTAGCGCATACACACACACACACACGCACACAAACACAAACACTTATATACATGCATGTATATTTATGTGGTTTGGCATTTTGCGGCAAAAAGCCCTTTGCTGACCACTTTTAAGTGCTGTCTTCAGCTCCGCTTTCAATCACCAACACTTTGKTTGTTGTATTGTCAGCTAACACTTTTGGTTGTTGTTGCTCTTGTACTGTCAGCATTACTTTACGCATTTGAGTGCCGGTGGCCACAATTGAACGCCTCTTCAAAGTGGCCGTCAACGCATCGATGACAACAATTTAAAAGCTTTGAGAAAAAAAAAAAAACGTTGAGAACCACAACAACAACAACAGCAACAATGGATGTCAGTTAGCTAGCCATCGGCATGCACTCAACAATATTAATTTCATTTATTGTATTTCCTTGACAGTTCTTCGTCGTCGGYCGCTTTCACAGCACACGCACACACACACAGGCGTGTCAACATCCTGCCGATAAGGCAATGCCAATGCGCTTACTATTTTTGTTTGCGTCTTTCTTTTTGTTGTCAGCATTGCGCAATATTTCAAAAGGTTTATGCCGCTCAGCGCATAACTTCATGGCACTTGGTCAACTTGTGCGCCAGCAAAGGGCTCCACTGCCTTGTCAAAGCTCGCCTTTAAGTGCTCTCTTGTGTAAACTACTCATGCGTCTGTGTGTGCGAACGTGTTTCGATTTTCTCTGCTGTTTTTAGCTCGCACGCACATTGGTTTTGGCGAAAAAGGTGTTCGATGCGATATTTATGGTTAGCACGTGCGTAAACGAATTTGTAAATCGCACCTTTTCTTGCCCTACATGACCGTTGTCCGTYCGCTGTTGTGAAGCTGTAAAAGCGTGAGTGTTGTTGCGAAATGCCATATCTCAATGGAAGCGACATAATTCAATGCGTTATGCTATAAGTAGCAAGTGTGTGTGTGGGTGTCTGTGTTCCGATTCCCCAAGTGATACAAATTTATTGAAAAACTTAAGGGGCAAACTTCCGAAATAAAACACTTTTCGTTTTGACAAATTTTTATACAAATATTGGAGGTAAAGAGGTCTTTGCAATCTAGCGATGGTGAATGCGTCCAATAGCATAGGAATAATAAACTATTGAAAATTTTTTCTCCTACTGCGTTTGACTCTCGTGCACAATTTCAATAACTTAGAAAAGGCATAAACTTATATCTAAGACTTGTCTAAGGTGATTATTTTCCATGGTTTCAGCTCTTCTTTCTTTATTCGAAAAAAATCCCATATTTCCGTATACTGCCGTACCGTATAAATCTTTTGACAAGTTCAAGTATRTTATACTCAGGTTTCTTAGTTCCATTTCTGGTGCCATCTTTAAGTTTAGTCTGTTTTGGTTAAACTTCAATCTCTACTGTCACCTATTTCCTCCAATTTCATGCTTTTTTAGTAGAGTTATAACATGTTATAGTTCTGGTCAACTTCCAGTTCAATAGAGATATCATATGTCTATAATGAAAACGAAGATACTAAGAAAGGATCTGTTTTAAACAAAGCATATAATAATGGTATGAAATTTTGTAACAACCAGCAGTTAACATCGTGGAACCAATAAAATATGTACCGAAATGCCACAGACGGCATTGCTTATCTCTATCTCTGCTCCATTRTACAGCCTTTGCACGACTGAGATCRCGATGGTCATACTTTCRACAAACCAGAAAACAGCCGAAACTCATATTAGCCGTCTCAACAAATTTGCGATAGGCTTAAGGCGCTTCGTCGTTTTGTAAGCATCTTATGTTCTAGTATATAGGAGTTTTCTGTACCAGTAAGGGCTGGCTTACAAGCTATCCAAGAGARATCCGTGTTGGGTGCGACCTCGTAATCTAACATAACAAAAGACAATATGTCTTCGGGGTTCAATATATTATCAAGGTTCGTGCTTTGCGAAAGAGAATTGATGCGTTGTGTGCTAGTATAATATATGCCGATAAAAGTGCATTTTTTCTGTATTTAAAGATTAAAGAGTTTCAGACTAGATGTCACAGAGTCTACACATTAAAGMTAAGACTATATCCATTTTATGTTTTATACCATTATGGGTAAAGAATAGTAAGACTTTTTAATACAAATTTCGCACTAAAACTTATTCGTCACAATATTTTTTTATTATGATATCGTGAAACTTTTTATTACTAGCGATGAGTCTTGAATCTAAGTTTAAGACAAGACAAACGATCTGTCGATCGAATATCGTTGCAAAGGTGAACCAAAGCAACTAAGTCAAAGCAGGTCAAAACTCAAGGTTTTTTTTTTTTTTTTTTGATTTTCGAGGTGTGTTGAAGTCTGAATTCCTTCCGACTAGCCAAGCTGTCAACTAGGAATATTATTTGAGTGTTAAGCGACGATTGCGTGCAGCTATTATTTAAAAGAGGCTGGAGTCAGGGGCCGATAATTCTTGGTTTATGACTTTTTTCATTYCATTTCATGGTTCAATCCAGTTGTTCGGTGCTATTGTTTATCTCTTTCTGYCTTTCCACCTTCATAAATAAATTTATTATTATGTTAAATGCTATAGGTGATTGTACAGGTATCTTTAAGCCCAGCGTGATCGTTGTTTCTAGGGTGGTCTTGTATATTGTTTGAACCATTTGAGGTGGGAACCTACCAGTAACAATTTAACCTGGCGCTAGCCAGTTGATTGCTATCAGTGCTGATCTCTTTCTGCCTTTTCCTTCTAGCGGAATAGTTCTTTTATGGTTTGGGGCAAGGAAGGAAATTCTGATCGCAGTCAATGTTAACTTTAATTTAATTAACATTTTCTACCCAAGCTTCAAGTTTGCACGATAAATATGTAACTTAATAAAGTTGTAGTGAAAGCAAGAGTTCAGAATACACATGAATTCAGACATCACGCACACAGTCAAACCTTATACTACACCAACAGTTTCTAAAAAAAATTTTACCGCTTATTTATAAAAAGTCATCAACAATGATAGCATTAATCTCAGAAAAAGTCCTATACATCTTCYTATTAATTTAATATACGCGCATGCTGTTAAATGTCAGTAATATTTTTCGTTTAATAACACCATAACTGTCCGCTTCGGCGTCGAATATTCTGTTTTTAATACCCAAAATTTCCGCTTGCTTATTGTGCGCCACACACAACATGCCACACACACATAAACGCCGCTCAATCACACATTAATCCTCAATATATCAAATAAATCGTGATAAATGACGGATTTGCAACATAAATGGTATTAATATTTTCAAAATTTGATACACGAAATGCGTGAGCATACTAGACAAATTTTATGACGAAAAATCATAACGAAAAAGGGTAATGAAACCATTTAAATGCAAGCGTGTTGTTGCTATAAAATGTAATATGTGTGTGCTACCGACATAAATATGTATTAGCAGGGCAATTAATTCTGTAAAATACAGATATTTTATGCAAACGCATGGTAAGGCGTGATGTTATAAAATTACTTAGTAAATTGAAAAAAAAAGTGTCGTAAATTTAGCAAAATATTTTTCGTTAAAAAAATTTTGTTACTTCTGCATATGTACTTATGTATAACACA